GAAGAGGCAGCATGTAGGAGGAGGCTGCTGTGGAGCAGGAACTCTGGCGCGGAGCAGTAAGGGTCAAATGACCTGTTTCTATCCTGCAGATGAATTATGACTTTTGGTTTTTCTCTGTTTTCGTTGTATTATAATGCATCCAAACATCCAGCTTGTGATATTTGGAACTGGTTTTCTGTGTGACTCTAAATATAAAACTCCAGTCCTGTATTGACAGTGAGCTGGCCACATGGGGAAGTCAGGCAGTGTGCATAGTCGGCTGTCGTCTGAATTTTCTCCAACTCCTGAAAGCTCAGAGTTGTGAGTAAGTTGGTCAAACACTCTGACTGGAAAATTTCCCCCAGTATGCTGTCATTTATTTTGGTTCCACTACGTGATTGCCGAGCAAATTGTGAAACTAGGAGTTAAAGTGCAGTTGTTTCGGTGTGAGCTCAGTGCTCGGATCTGTCCTGGAATGAAATGGGCTGAAACTTTTCCACTTCTGCTTCTTTTATTTTTCTCCTTGCCATCGCCATGGTGTCCTCTTTTCAAACCTTTCCTCAGCACCGAATTCAGAAACTCAATGTCTCCTCTTTGATTTCTCCCCCTTTTTTGTTCGAATTTCTCTCTTTCCCTCCGGACCTGCATTTGGCCCACATGGAGGGGCATTGAGGCAAAGACCCGGTAACATCTCACTGAAAAAGGGAGTGATTTCTCGATTCAAGTTTCTATTGCCTTTTAAATTTTCTCTTAAAGGAAATGCTAACCCACTGTCTCAGTTCTTGCATGGCCTCTAAAAATATTGAAGTTCCTTCAAAATGAGGGAGAAAATTGCAGGTTTGAGAGCCAAACCAGCACTCGCCTAATTTGGGGAAGCAACGCTTTTGTGTCTGCACTTTGTCAGCAAAGGTATCAGAGTCTCAGTTAAGGAAGGAAATCTGCTGTCCTTCACCTAATCTGGCCCATGTGTTACTTTCTCTCGGCCCAGAACTGTCGGGCAGATTATTAACTGCTTTCTGAAGCAACGCAGGCAAGTGTTTGTTGCCTGTCCTCGGCATCTTTCTCATATCAGAGGACCGTTAAGAGTCAAACACATCACTTTGGGTCATGTGTTGAGTCAGAAAAGTTTTTTTTAAACCGCACGGTAGTAGTCCCTTCAGCGCATCGTGTTTGTCTGGTCATCTGTTCTAATCCCATTTTCCAGCACTTGGCCTCTAGCCTTGGATGCTATGGAGTTTTAAGTGTTCATCTGAATACTTCTTAAATGTCTTGAGAGTTCCTACCTCTACCACCCTGTTATGCATTGAGTTCCAGATGCCCACAACCTCTGGGTAGTCACACAGCACAGAAATAGACCCTTCGGTCCAACCAGTCCATGCCGACCATAATCCCAAACTATACTAGTTCCACCTGCCTGCTCTTGGCCCATATTCCTCCAAGCATTTTCTTATTGGTGAACTTATCCAAATGTCTTTTAAATGTAACGGTACTAGCTTCCACCACTTCCTTTGGAAGTTCATTCCACACATGAACTCCTCTGTGTGGAAAAAAAAATCCCTCGTGTTTTTTAAATCTTTCTTCTCTCACCTTAAACCTATGCCCTTAATCTTGAAATCCCCCACCCTAGGGAAAAGATTCTGGCTATTCATCTTATCTATGCCCTTCATGGTTTTATAAATCTCCATAAGTTCACCCCTAAACCTCCCATGCTCCAGTGAGAAAAGTCCCAGCCTATTTAGCCTCTCCTTATAACTCAAACCGTCCATGTTCCTTGCTGCATCCTGGTGAAAAAAAATTTCCTCAAAGTTTTCCAGGGGAGGCGACGGGCTAGTGGTATAATTGCTGGATTGTTAATTCTGAGACCCAGGTAATGTCCTGGGGTCCTGCGTATGAATCCTGCTATGGCAAATGGAATTTGAATTCATTAAAAATCTGGAAATAAGAGCTTAATGCTGACCATGAATCGATTGTCAGAAAAACCCATCTGATTCACTAATGTCCTTTAGGGAAGGAAACTGCCATCCTTACCTGGTCTGGCCTACATGTGACTCTAGATCTACAGTGATGTGGTTGATTCTTAACTGCCCTCTGGGCAAGCAGGAATGGGCAATAAATGCTAGCTTAGCCAGTGATGCCCTCATCCTATGAATGAATAAAAAAAATCCCTCCTGCTCCTTATCTTAAAAACATGTCCCCTGGTTATTGACCCCTCTACTAAGGGGAGAGGTTACTCACTATTTATCCTGTCTATGCCCCACAGAACTTTGTAGACCTCAATCAGAACATTGCCTTTGGCCTTCTCTGTTCGAGGGAAAACAACCCAGGACGGCAGATTTCCTTCCCTAAAGGAGATGAGTGAATTTTAGTGATGATCGATGGTGATCGTCTAAGAATAAAGAAAAGGGGTAGAACAAAGAACATTACAGTGCAGTACAGGCCCTTCGGCCCTCGATGTTGCGCCGACCTGTGAAACCAATCTGAAGCCCATCTAACCTACACTATTCCATTATCATCTATATGTTTATCCAATGACCATTTAAATGCCCTTAAAGTTGGCGAGTCTACTACTGTTGCAGGCAGGGCATTCCACGCCCTTACTACTCTCTGAGTAAAGAACCTACCTCTGACATCTGTCCTATATCTATCACCCCTCAATTTAAAGCTATGTCCTCTCATGCTAGCCATCACCATCCGAGAAAAAAGGCTCTCGCTGTCCGCCCTATCTAACCCTCTGATCATCTTGTTTGTCTCTATTAAGTCACCTCTTAACCTTCTTCTCTCTAACGAAAACAGCCTCAAGTCCCTCAGCCTTTCCTCATAAGACCTTCCCTCCATACCAGGCAACATCCTGGTAAATCTCCTCTGCACCCGTCCCAGTGCTTCCATATCCTTCCTATAATGCGGCGACCAAAACTATACGCAATACTCCAAGTGCGGCCGCACCAGAGTTTTGTACAGCTGCAACATGACCTCATTGCTCCAAAACTCAATCCCTCTACCAATAAAACCTAACGCACCGTACGCCTTCTTAACAACCCGATCAACCTGGGTGGCAACTTTCAGGGATCGATGCACATGGACACCGAGATCTCTCTGCTCATCCACACTACCAAGAATCTTACCATTAGCCCAGTACTCTGTATTCCTGTTACTCCTTCCAAAGTGAATCACCTCACACTTTTCCGCATTAAACTCCATTTGCCACCTCTCAGCCAGCTCTGCAGCTTATCTATGTCCCTCTGTAACCTGCAACATCCTTCCGCACTATCCACAACTCCACCGACTTTAGTGTCATCTGCAAATTTACTAACCCATCCTTCTACGCCCTCATCCAGGTCATTTATAAAAATGACAAACAGCAGTGGCCCCAAAACAGATCCTTGCGGTACACCACTAGTAACTGAACTCCAGGATGAACATTTCCCATCAACCACCACCCTCTGTCTTCTTACAGCTAGCCAATTTCAGATCCAAACCGCTAAATCACCCTCAATCCCATGCCTCCGTATTTTCTGCAATAGCCTACCATGGGGAACCTTATCAAACACTTTACTGAAATCCATATACACCAAATCAACCGCTTTACCCTCATCCAGCTGTTTGGTCACCTTCTCAAAGAACTCAAAAAGGTTTGTAAGGCACGACCTACCCTTCACAAAAACCGTGTTGACTATCCCTAATCAAGTTATTCCTTTCTAGATGATTATAAATCCCATCTCTTTTAATCCTTTCCAACACTTTACCCACAACCGAAGTAAGGCTGACTGGTCTGTAATTACCAGGGTTATCTCTACTCCCCTTCTTGAACAAGGGGACAACATTTGCTAGTCTCCAGTCTTCTGGCACTATTCCTGTAGACAATGACGACATAAAGATCAAAGCCAAAGGCTCTGCAATCTCCTCCCTGGCCTCCCAGAGAATCCTAGGATAAATCCCATCCGGCCCAGGGGACTTATCTATTTTCACACTTTCCAGAATTGCTAACACCTCCTCCTTATGAACCTCAATCCCGTCTAGACTAATAGCCTGTATCTCAGTATTCTCCTCGACAACATTGTCTTTTTCCTGTGTGAATACTGACGAAAAATATTCATTTAGCGCCTCTCCTATCTCTTCGGACTCCACGCACAACTTCCCACTACTGTCCTTGACTGGCCCTAATCTTACTGTAGTCATTCTTTTATTCCTGACATACCTATAGAAAGCTTTAGGGTTTTCCTTGATCCTACCTGCTAAAGACTTCTCATGTCCCCTCCTGGCTCTTCTTAGCTCTCTCTTTAGGTCCTTCCTGGCTAACTTGTAACTCTCAAGCGCCCTAACTGAGCCTTCATGCCTCATCTTTACATAAGCTTCCTTCTTCCTCTTGACAAGAGATTCAACTTTTTTAGTAAACCATGGTTCCCTCGCTTGACCACTTCCTCCCTGCCTGACAGGTACGTACTTATCAAGGACACGCAGTAGCTGTTCCTTGAACAAGCTCCACATTTCAATTGTGCCCAACCCCTGCAGTTAAGTCATTCAGGACTGAGATGAGGAAGACTTTTTTCACTCAGAGTTGTGAACCTGTGGAATTCTCTCCCACAGGAAACTGTTTGTTAGATATATTCAAGAGGGAGCTGGACATGCCCTTGTGGCTAAAGGGATCAAGGGGTATGGAGAGAAAGCAGGAGGAATACTGAGATTGCATGATCAGTCAAGGTGATATTGAATGGTGGTGTGGGCTCAAAGGGCCGAATGGCCTACCCCTGTACCTGTTTTATATGTTTCTATATCACAGTCTCCATCGGCAAGAATTGTTTTCGACTCCAGATTTTATTCATTGAACTAAAATTCAACCCTGGTGGGATTTGAATCCGTGTCCCCTGACGGTTAGCCCGGTAGGGGGGTGTCCCTGGATTACGAGCCTGGTGACGTTTCCGCAATGCTACTTCAGCAGTCATCTCCACACTGTCCTGTGGCTATGCACAGCGCTATAGAAATGGATTCAGAGACCAGTAATGGCCTGTGTCTGTTCTCTGCAGGGTCCCAACATGGGAGCAGCCGAGGATGAGCTGATTGGGATCCCCTTCCCGGAGCACAGCAGCGAGCTGCTGCATAGCCTCAACGAGCAGAGGCGCAAGGGGCTGCTCTGCGACCTGACCATCGTGGCTCAGGGGCTGGAGTACCAGACTCACCGCGCCGTACTGGCTGCCTGCAGCCAGTACTTCAGGAAGCTGTTCACCGCCAGGCCCTTCCGAGGCCAGCGAGATGTTTGCGAGCTGGACTTTGTGCATCCCCGGGTGCTGGGCGCCCTCCTGGAGTTCGCCTACACGGCCACGCTGACTGTCAGCAGTTCGGACATGAGGGAAGTGCTGCAGGCGGCCCGACTGCTGGAGATTCAGTGCGTGACTGACGCCTGTGCCGACATCCTGCAGAGCAGCGGCGTCTCCGAGCCACCGCAGCCAAACCCTGACCCTCCAGCCATCTACACCGGAGCCTGCCTGTACCCAGAAGGCCCAGCCCAGGAGGAGGAGGCGGCTCCAGCCGTGACTGACCTTCAGACTCTGGAGGTGCCCAAGGTCCGGCGCCGCAAGAGGCCCAAGAAGCTGCCCCGGCTCTTGCTGAACCACCGCAGCAGGAGCCTATACCGTATCGTCCAGCCGCTGCAGACCTCCATGGATATGGACCGTGAACCAGACCAGAGGCAACCGAAAGCCTGCCGGGGAGAGCGGGACCCCAGCCCCGGGACTGCCGGCCACCAGGAGGGCGAGGGGGACGGCAGCTTCCTCGGCCAGGAAGGTGGGGGACCGTCCTGCCACCAGCTGGTCTCCTCCTCCCCTCTCCCTCCTCTCGCCGGCGACGAAGAGGGTGCCGAACTGCCTGCCTCCGCCTACCTGAGCCTGGTCAGCAACGGCCTCCTCGGTGACGGGACACTGTCCTCGCTCGACAGGGCTCCGGGGGCCCGCCGCAGGAAATCTCAGATGCCCCAGGAGTGCCCCATCTGCCACAAGGTCATCCACGGAGCGGGCAAACTCCCACGGCACATCCGCACCCACACCGGTGAGAAGCCGTTTGCCTGCCAGGTCTGTGGCGTCCGCTTCACCAGGTAATGTCACTCTCTGCACAGCAGCGCATGGGGCAAGATAGGCAGAGCTGTTTACACACACCCACTCACCCTTTTATTAGCCAGCCTATCCCCTCAGTCATCCTGTCTCACTCACTCGCTCGCACTATCCCTCTCTTGTTCCCTCATTCACTCTCACGTTCCCTCTCTTGTTCCCTCACTCACTCTTTTCCCTCACTCACTCTTTTCCCTCATTCTCTCTTTTTTCTCTCTCTCTCTCTCTCTCTCTCTGTCTGTCTGTTCCCACCACCACCCTCCCCGTCTTATCTACCTCATCCTCATGTTCCTTCCTACCACTGCAACAGCTTCATTCCCTCCCTGTTGCCGTGCTTCATTACATTTCTCAGGCCCCCTCCCTCCCTATATCACTCTGTCTTTCCTTTTTCCCTGTCCCATTCTTCCTAACCCTCTCCATTCCCATCTTCGCATGTATTGTGCCTCCTCCTTTCTCTCTATTTGTCTCCTTCTCTGTCTGTCTTTGTCGTTCTCCCAGCTGTCTCCCGATTCATCCTTTTCTGATTCTTCCCTGACCCCCACTCCCTCTCTCTCCCCTTCCTCATCTGCTTGCCTTCTTTCCTATATCTCCTACTGTCTTTTCAAGATGCTCTGAAGCCCCTACACTCTCTCCCATCCATATGTATTGTCTGGTCTGTCACCTCACACCCATCCCATCCGTGCCTCAGCTCCCTCTAAACTCATTTCTTTCCTCCCCCGCCAGCTATCTCATCTCATTTCACTTCTTTGCTTTGTTTCCTCTTCCCTCTGTCCCCACAAATCCTACCCCTGCCCTTTCATTGCCTCTTGGCCTGTCGCCTCAACTTTGATGGGGCGGCATGGTGTCTCAGTGGTTAGCACTACTGCCTCAGCGCCAGAGACCCGGGTTCGATTCCAGCGTCGGGCAACTGTCTGTGTGTAGTTTGTACTTTCTCCCCATGTCTGCATGAGTTTCCTCCGGGTGCTCCGGTTTCCTCCCACAGTGCAAAGATGTGCAGGTTAGGGTGGATTGGTTATGCTAAATCGCCCACAGTGTCTAGGGATGGGGTAGAGGGTGGATCTGAGAGTCGATGGGCCGAATGGCCTGCTTCCACACTCTAGAGATTCTACGATCCTATGATAATAGGAGCAGGAGTAAGCCATTCAGCCCTTCAAGCCTGCTGTGCCCCTCAATATGATAATAGTTGATCATCTAACTCAGTACCATGATGCCACTATATCCCCCATACTTTTTAAACTGAAACCACGACTGGGATATTTTCCCATTTATCTTTCACGGTGCGATGCTCAGCATTTATTGCCCACCCCTAATTGCCTCTTGAATCCCTGTGATGCAGGTGACCCCTCCACCCAGTGTTATTATTGCCTTGTTTCACGTCATGGCCTCAGTGGGCCCGAGCAACGAATCGTAGAATCCCTACAGTGCGTAAAAATGTCATTCGGCCATTGGGTCTGCACCGATCCTTCAAAGAGCTTCCCACTTGACCTCATCCTACGTCCTATTCCCATAACCCAACTCACAACTCTGGGGCAATTTATCTAAGCTGACCTACGCAACTTTGGACAGTGGGAGGAATCTGGAGCACCTGGAGGAACCCCACACAGACACAGGGGGAATATCATGCAATCTCCACACAGCCTGAGGCTGGAATCGAACCCAGGTCCCCAGCGCTGTGAGGCAGCGGTGCTAACCACTGAACCACTGTGCGTCTCCACTGGTGGTTGGAAATTTGGCCATGAGAGGCACCGCATTGCCCCCTTGTGTTCCAGGAGTGGCACAGGGATTGGGGGTGTTGCGTTTTTGGGATATTAGATTACGGTGACCCGCGTGGAACTGAGATTGTTCTGAGCCCTGTCTTCCCTTCTTTGTCCTTGGGATCTCGTGCCTGCCTGGCCGTCCGCAGGAATGATAAGCTGAAGATTCACATGAGGAAGCACACGGGCGAGAGGCCGTACTCGTGCAACTGCTGTGACGCCCGCTTCCTCCACAGCTATGACCTGAAGAACCATGCCCGACTCCACACCGGGGACAGACCCTTTGAGTGCAGCCAGTGCCGCAAGGCCTTTGTACGTATTGACCACCTCCAACGACACCTGAAGGGCCAGAACTGCCTAGAAATCCGCACCAGGAAACGCAAAGGTGAGAGCCAGGGACTACAGGAACACCCGGTCAACTGGGAACGCTTGGCAGTGGATGGCACCTTCCCAGAAGAATATGGGATCGAGAGAGAGACCCCAGGAATAGACTGCGTCTTCCCAGAGGGATACAGGATTGAGAAGGAATCCCCAGGAATCGATGGTGCATTCCCAGAGGGGTACGGGATCAAGAAGGAGCCTTCGGCGACTGACAGGAAGATCCCAGAGGGATACGGGATCAAGAGGGAATCCCCAGGAATTGATGGTACGTTCCCAGAGGGATACGGGATCAAGAAGGAGCCCTCAGTGTCCGACAGAAAATTCCCGGAGGGATACGGGATCAAGAGGGAATCCCCAGGAATTGATGGTGCGTTCCCAGAGGGATGCGGGATCAAGAAGGAGTCCTCAGGGATCAGCAGGAAATTCCCAGAGGAATACGGGATCAAGAAGGAGCCCCTGGCAATAGATTATACCTTTCCAGAAGGATACAGGATGAGGGGGGCACCTCTGGGACTAGACAACACACTCCCAGAGAGATACAGGATGACAGTGGAGCCCCTACAAACAGAAGGAGACAGTGACATGGATGACTCGCGAGATTGGGGCCACAGCACAGCCAAATGGAATAGTCAACCAGGGGAAGACATCCTAGTTGATCCCTCATAACCTGACCAAGCACAGTTATATTTTTTATAAATTGTTGCAGAACTCCCCTGCTCAAACCTTTGCATATTTTCTGCTTCAGAGGGACTGTGAAGCGGGTCTGTGGGAGGCAGGGATTTTTTAAAATATGCTTTAAGCATCTGCCTCTATGCACCTTTTTAATGTTTCTGGGATAAGTGGCAACTGTTGCGATGAAACACTGTTTTATGTGTCTGAGTGAATTGTGTGCTTGTGTAAATGTGCAAGTGTTGTACATGCATGCGTTTGTGTCTGAGTGAATGTGTGTACTTATGTAAATGTGCGAGTGTGTGTGCGCATGTATTTGTGTCTGAGTGTGTGTGTGTGCATTTGTTTGAGTCTGAGTGAATGTGTGTGTATACACATATAAATGTGCGAGTGTTACTACGGGGAATAGCCTCTCTGATAATTAAACTGAAACACAAGCCCCAATCTGTTATAACAGGACTAGGGGTTCCCCTCCTAATAATTACTCTGAAACACCCAGAGAAGCTTGTCTTTCCCCTCATAATCTATTAAAAGAGTGGTTAAATGAAGGAAAATTCCTGATCTCCACTTTACAAGTAACAAAAAACAATTTATTTATTTAACTCAACAATGAACAAATTAACAAAATTACTAACAAACAGTCAATTCCCCTTTAGACTACTAACTACTCCCTAACTGGTCTAAATTCTACTGGAATGCTGTAAACAAAGACAAGTCCCACTAATATAAACCCAATTAAGAAGAAGCAACAAATTATAACTTAGTCTGTACGAACTTGGAGAGATTGACTTCTGGAATCTTCTGTCATCTCCGGTCTCTTCACAAACACCTTTCTTCCGTTAATTCTGCTGTCAGGGATGTTTTACTTGTATAATCTCTTCAATGAGGACTTTGAGCTAAAATACCATGGTACCTTTGTTTTAAAGTTTTTGAGAAGATTTGTACCCACAATCAGTAAAACTAATCTAATATACAAAATACCATGCAAGGACTGTGAAAAACATTTAGACCAAACTGGAAGAAAACTGACAATAAGGATACACAAACACCAGCTAGCCACCAAGAGACATGACCAGTTCTCACTGATCTCAATATACACGGACAAAGAAGGACACGAATTCGACTGGGACAACACATCCATAATAGCACAAGCCAAACAGAGACACACCAGGGAATTCCTGGAGGCCTGGCATTCCAACCAGAACTCCACCAACAAACACATTGAAGTAGACCCAATACACACAGCATTCAAAAACAGAATCGAAAGTAATGCCAACCACCCCAGCAAACTGAGGGATATAAAGAACAAGCGGGACAGAACACCAATGCTTCACCGGAGGTGCACTGACGATGCTACCTAGCAGGGTGACGAAACGTCTGCAACCAAACACACCAGGCTCAGTGAGCAAGTCTATAACCTCGGTACCTTTGATTAATTAGATGGACTTTCTCTGAGAGCTGAATGGTACTAACGCTGGCAGGTGACGCTCTCTTTCAGATGGTAGTTAGCTCTCCCTGATTTTCCAAATGCCCTTGTCTTGTAGACCCATAATAACATAATCAAATTCTTATAGTATGATTGGTTTCAGGTTGTCAACACCATCAGATTTAAATTCAATTGGCTTTCAGTTTGCTTTTAAACGAGTTGGCCTCATTCAAACTCATTGTCACAACGTCAAGACAAGACTGCTGTTTTGCCTGCCAACTGTAAGGCTTTTTTGATGCGTTTGTTTCGCTTTTTAAGACTTTCTGTACTGGCAGCTTCAGCCACTGCTCACAGAGATACTTTTCTAAAAAAAATTTGTAAGTACAGTTAAAACACACATCTCTGAAAGGAACTGCCCATTTTAGCGTCCTACCTTCCACTTCACAATTACTTTACCCAATTTCGTAACACGAGTGTGTGTGTGTATATGTTTGTGTCTGAATGAATGTGCGTACATGTATAAATGTGTGTGCGCGCGCACGCGTGCATTTGTATGTGAGTGAATGTGTGCGTATACATGCATAAATATGAGAATGTGTGTGTGCACGCATTTGTATGTGTTTGAGTGAATGTGTGCATGTATGTGTAAATGTGCGAGTATGAGATTGTGTATATCTCTACATGTGAGTGTGTGTGTATGTATGTCTGGGATAATTTGGAGTTACTTGTTTTCTGAATGTTCTCAATTTGGTAGCGAGAAACAGTTTATCTCTGATGCAAGGCCCAGCACACAGGCACAAGTGTCAGGCACATCCCTGGTGGAATGTAGCCCCTGATGGGGACTGGTATCAGGCCCTCTGGGGGAGCCGGCAAGAGACACATAGAAGCTGCCGAGTAGTTTTCTCCAGAGGGTTAGCATTGTCATGCTTTGGTGAAATTGCGACGTGATGTGGGCGAGGAGCGTGAGCACATAAAGGCAGTAGGACTCCGTCCTCTGCTTTCCGCTCCTGGAGAGAGCCTCCCTTCTCCTGGGCCTTGCTGTCCTGCACTTGCACTTGGCTCTCAATGTCCAGCCAGCATAGCGATCGTTTCCAAATCCCCAAGGTGGTGTCCGTTCAGCCTTTATTCCTCGTCACACCTTCCCTGTTGAATTCCGCTCCCCCCCATCATCCCTCCTCTCTGGGGAAGCAAGCACAGCTCTTGCCAAGAACCCTGCTCCCAATTAGGAACCGCTTGCAGAGTCAGCTCACCAAACAAGAATAAAGTTCTGAATCATTGGGAAAACAGTTGATTCCACTAGTTTATCACCTGTCCTCAGGGTGACAAGAGTGAAGGTAGATTTGAAATATTAATATATTTTAAATTATGTATAAAACTATATTAAAAGGTATAAATGTTGCTGCCCTATGCGTGTGTGTGAATGTGAACATTATCAGCAAATATAGTAACAACTCTATTTAATTACTGATCAGAAATTGAACCTTTTTTGATACAATACATGAGGTTTTGAAATCTTGAATCTTTTCATATATATCTGTAATTGAGTTTGATTGTCTGCTGTAGACTGCTGCCTCTTTTTAACGCGCGCGCCCTCTCTCTCTCTTTCCTTCCCTGTCCACCTCCTTTCCCGCCTCCCGGAGGCATGCAGTTTGCCCAGTGTGCACTTTCCTGGTTCCAAATCAATGCAAGTGGCGGATCGCGGCTCCCAGTCGCTGCTTGCCCAGTGGTGAGCCAGGACTGTGGGACATTGGTCCGCCCTCGTTTACCGGACACTGTGACATGATCCTAACAAAGGGGGACTGTTGGTCAGGCCATGAACCCCTCAGCCCAACAAAAAAATGTCTAAAAGCACTTTTTGTTTTCTTATGGAGTGGGTAACTCAGCTGGCTCAGTAATGTACCCAGTATCTAACCCCGTGCTGCCCCTGTCCTGGGAGTGTTTGATGGGGGGGACAGTGTAGAGGGAGCTTTACTCTGTCCCAAACCCTCGTGCTCTGCTTCTACCTTGCTTTCTGACCATGGATCGAGAATTCCATCCTTGTCAAGGAGGGCGGCGACCCACTTTAAAACACTGGGCTCGGGTGCGGGATCCATGCCGGAGGGCACGGGGAGGTGGGGCGGGGTGGAGGTTGGGTCTCCTACACTGTCCTAAAGAAGCTGCAGGTGTGGGTGATGGGGCAGAAGGGCACGGCAGGGGCAGACTTGAGTGCTGAGCCTGACTGAAGCCCTGGACGATCACCCTCCTTCCTCCCAGGGGAATGATACTGCTGCGTCTGAAATGGAATGATTGTGTGTGTGGTGGTGGGCTAGCAATTGTAGCCAAACGCTGGAATTTGAGGTTTGCTGACAGAGGTACCTCACACAGAGGGTAGCAGGCTGATGCCCTTGACATTGTCGGACTTACCATTGGAGCCTAGCTCCAACTCTTGCACTTGCTGCACTGTCAGTCTTTCTGTTCGGTGTTTAGACTATAGCCTAGTTGCACTTTAACTTCTGATAGCTGCATTCCCCACCCCCCCCACCACCAGCCTGTTTTGCTTAATTTTACCTCTCCAGCCTGTGGACCTGATTTTTGGAGGGGGTTCCTACGTGCACCTTATTGAGTTTTTGTTTGTTTGTTTGGTGTATAACCCGGGTTTCCATCAGTGACCCGGCTGTGTAGACTGTACTACACCAGGGGCCAGATCCCCATGGTCTGGTGACACTGGACATTCCTCGGAAGTTTTTAACCTTCCAAGAGAGATTTAATTTGACGTCAAGTGTTTTTATTAGGTTTTCAAGATGAGATTTTGGAGTTTTTAAACCTTAAGAATGCACTTGTTATCATGCAAGATGATTTTAATTCTTTTTTTGTTGTGCGCGTGCATTCCCTTGCTGCCTGTAAATACTGTCTTTTTATAAAAAATGGAAAAGAATGTGCCTTAATTATGGTAGCTTGTTTCTCACTGATGGGTAGTGGAAATAAATTTTGATTTATTGACCACACAGTGGCTTTTCACGAGTGTCTCTCAGTTTGTCAGCTCTGTTTGGTCACTCCCCACGGGTTTACCACTCACTCGCGTTTCACCCCCTCAGCAAAGTCCTGTCCGTGACAGACTCACCTCTCTGGGGAAGTGTGAGAGATACAAGCAGGACGTGCTCAAAGAGCACATGGCCTCCCCATCAACCGTATGTTGATGTTTGGCAACCTGAATGTCCTCCTCGAGCTGCCGGTGAGAATCCAGGAATGAGCCTGCCCCGGGAAAGCTGTCGTGGAAGGAGCCGTGACCTTGTATGGGCCCAATGAAAGGGTGGCAAAGGATATGTCTGACTCCTGTGCCCCCTCCGAGCGAGGGAAGTGTGTGCAGTGGTCATGATTCAATTCAAAACGTTAATTTTTTTCCTTTTGGGCGTTAAAAGAAGTGGAAACCCTCTTCTCCCACAATGTAAATTGTTGTTCCCCCTCTGAGATTTGACATTCTTGCAGTTTCATCCTGATTGCACTCAGCTTTGTTTTTCACTCTCTCTCACTCGCAGCAAGACTCAAGTTCTGAACCAGTCAATGAAGATCAAACATTATTTTACTCAAATGGGGGCATTTACAATGGTGTGGTCTGACATTGCTGCCATCCCATTCCTCCCCCACTGCCCAAGCAGTCTTTCATCAGCTCCTCTACCTTATCCCACTGGATTGTAGGGAATGAATGGATGGTGGGATGCAGTTGCTCCTGTCGACCTGTGTTTGCCTCTCTTTCAACTCTCAACAGTACCTGCTGCATAAATGGTGTAAACATGACTCCGACCCCCCTGCCCCACCCCCCACCATTCCCTGTCCCGTGGACTCACGCACTATCCAAGTTCAGGCAGCACCAGTTTCCAGTCCTCATCCATGTGGGTGTAGGTGCGGGGAGTTTGCGCCTGAGAGGAGACGGTGGTAGAGGTGGCGCTGGGCATGTCCACGCGCACGTCCCTCAGGGACCCAGCCTCACTGCCGGCCGAGCCGCTGGCAGAGGCTGAATCCCGCCGTCGTCGCCGGTGCCTCTGCCTCTCGGCCTCCTCCAGGTCGGCGACGGTGACCATGTCCCGGCTGCTCCTCTTGGCGATGAACTCGCTGGGTTCGTACGGCTCCTCCAGACTAGTCTCCTCCTCTGGCGACTTCTCCTGGTACCCGAAATCCAGCTCGCTGTCACTGCATGGGAGAGGGGGGAGGTGGGAGAAAGGCAGGAAGGGAGAGGAGAAGTAAAGTCGAGAGGTGAACCGTTTCCTTCAGAGAAGTGCATCAGGGATTCTGAGCCCCATTTAGCACCCCCTCCTGGAGTCTGTTACACGGGAACAGACGGCCATTTGGCCCCCTCTCCGAGACTGTTATACAGCAACAGGTGGAGGCCGTTCAGCCCCCTCCTTGAGCCCATTATACAAGAATGGGAGGAGGCCATTCACCCCCCTCATTGAGTCTGCTAGACAGGAATGGGAGGAGGCCATTCAGCCCCCTCCCTGAGCCTATTACACAGAAATGGAAGGAGGCCGTTCAGCCCCCTCCTTGAGCTTGTCATACAGGAATAGGAGGAGGGCCATTCAGTCCCCTCCCTGAGCCTGTTACACAGGAACAGACGGCCATTTGGCCCAGTCTCCAAGACTATTACACAGCAACAGGAGGAGGCTATTCAGAGACCCCTCCCTGAGCTTGAATTACAGGAATAGGAGGCCATTCGACCCCCTCATGCCTGTTACACAGGAATGGGAGGAGGCCCATTCAGCCACCTTGTTGAGCCTGTTGGACAGGAACTCAATCTTTTTGATCTTTTCCCTCCACTCACGCAGGTAACTCCATCTATCTGTTGTTTTCTTATTCCTTAAATTGCTTAATCCTATACAAACCTGTCCATCTCAGTTTTGGTGTTTCTAGTTGGTTTCAACCCTCAAGTACTTCTTCAGCAGCCAGCTTTTTTTGTTTGGTGGGGAGAGTCTCCCAGTCTTACATTGCACCTTCCACCTCCACTCTCAAATGGCATGGCCTGAACTTGAATGTTCTGACCCACCCTCTGATAATCCACCATATGTTTAAAGGCAGTACATGGGCTGCAATTCTGTTCTGGAATCCATACGGAAGTCGGGTCTTTAAAGTTACAACCATGAATGGGATCGCATTGATAAGTCGGACGTTTGCAAATCAGGGACAACCCTGCATTAGTTTTCCAAATTACTTGCAGTAGCTGCACTGCAATCTTTCATGATTCATGTATAGGACACCCAGATCTGTCTGTACCTCAGAGCTCTGCGTTCTGTTATCATTTCAATAATACGCTTTGTTTTTATTCATCTTGCCAAAATGAGTACTTTCACACGTTCTCGTATTATAATTCATCGTCCTGCTCACCCGACCTGTGCCTTTCGTAGAGGCACATAGCACGGAAACAGACCCTTCAGTCCAACCAGTCCATGCTGACCATAATCCCAAACTAAACTAGTCCCACCTGCCTGTGCTTGGCCCATATCGTTCCAAACATTTCTTGTTTTTGTACTTATCCAAATGTCTTTTAAACGTTGTAACTGTGCCCACATCCACCACTTCCGCTGGAAGTTCATTCCACACACAAACTACTCTCTGTAAAAAAAAAAAAAATTGCCCCTTTTCACATCTTTAAATCTTTCTCCTCTCACATTAAAAATATGCCCCTTGCCTTGAAATACCCCAGTCGAGGGAAAGACACTGATCACTCACCTTATCTATACCTATCATGATTTTATAAACCTATAAGGTCACCCTACAGCCTCCTCTGCTCCAGTGAAAAAAGTCCCAGACTCTCCTAACTCAAGCCCTCCATTCCTGGCAACATCCTGCTTAATCTCTTCTGAACCCTCTTCAGTTTAACAATGTCCTTCCTATAACAGGGTGACCAGAACTGGTCACCGTACACCAGAAGGGGCCTCACCAAAGTCCTGTACAACCTCAACATGATGTCCCAACTCCTAAGTGTGAGCAATGTAGGTAGTGCGCTAAGTGCCTTCTTAACCACCCTGTCTATATGTAATGGGCTCCTTGTGTCGTTACCTTTTGTCACGGTGAAACCCAGGAGCTTCCTGCCTGCTTGGCTTCCTTCGCTTCCTGACTGCCTCTCCCGGCATATCCCGGTGGAGGGTGGCCTTGAGAGCTGCCTCCTTCTCCCTCGTGACGCCCAGGTCCTCGTACAGGGCGGCCCTGATCCTCTGCTTCAGCAGGGCACGCAGCTCCTTCCGTTCCCGCTTGGCCTTGTCGCGTCGTGTCTTCATGCTCTCCAGGGCGCTGAGCCACAGCTGCACTTTGCCAGAGTCGCTGGAGTCCCTGAGGAGGGAGTGCGTGGGAGAGGGAAGGGGGCAGAAGGTTTCACAAAGATCACTCTCCGAGACAGAGTAAAAGCTCAGCCCGTCTGCCGATAACCTTCGCAGTCCTCTGGGGACGGCTCTGCAACAGAGTGGGATCAATGCACAGCAAGATCCCAAAACAATCATTCTCCCCACCACACAAATCCACCCCCCCGCCGCAACTTGGCCACTGCACCATACTGACGTTCCAACCACAAGCCCCTTCAAGGCCACACTATCAAAGTTTGACACCAGGTTGAACGAGGAGATATTCAGATGGGTGACCAAAAGGCAAGGAGGGTCAGACAGAGGAGGTGGGTGGCATGGTGGCTTAGTGGCAGTGCTGCTGTCTCACAGCACCAGGGAACCTGGTTTGAATCCAGCCTCGGGTGACTGAGTGGAGTTCGCACGTTCTCCCCTCCCAGTGTCTGCATGGGTTTCCTCCCACAGTCCAAAGATGTGTAGGTTAGAGTGGACTGGCTGTGCTAAATTGTCCCGTAGTGCCCAGGGATGTACAGGTTAGGGTGGATTGGCCGTGCTA